GAATACATGCATTGTGCTCTAAAATTGTGCGTGTAGTGTGCAGGATATGGCGAAAAATGCTAAAACCTTAAATAACGTTCTTAGCAATGGACAGAAATACGACTGATGAAATGTTAAGCAAACCGTGTAATACTTGAAGTAGGGAACTAGAAATAGTTTATGTAAAGATGTGTCTCATATATGTTGCCGATTCTTAATGAAGACTAAATAAAATTAGAATAAACTAATGTTGTATACCTTCATGAAGATTTATTAATACTTGAGATTAATACTGTATTTTCCTTCTTGGACTCTTGAATTATTTTAAAATCATTGAAAGAGCAGAAATATTATGAGCAATTATTTTCAATATTCCTTTTTAATTAGCACTACAATGCCGTAGATATGTTTTTCCTCTCAACATGTTTTGCATGGTAGTGAAGATCATAAATACACAAGTAAACAATGGTGAAAAGCACCAAGCGTCCGCAAAAAAATACTGAAGCATTTTAAATTATTTCAACAATAGTCAAAAATACTTTTGGGGTTTAATGATGTATTTTTAATCCAAAGATAAAAACGTGTAAAATTTTTATTGCAACGTTTATATCAACACAAATGTTACTGCAAATACATGTGCGCTTTAAATCATATATTTGAAAATCAGAGATTACAGGATAGCATCAAAAGATAAATATACAGCAAAACTCGGTTATAACGAAGTTACATGGACATATGAAATTACTTCGCTATATCCGTAATTCGTTATAACCGTATAAGAAATTCATTAGATTAATATAGCTGGGGATCCAAGATGACTTCGCTATATCCGTACATTTGCAATATCCGTGTTCGTACTAAACGAGTTTTGCTGTAATATCTTTATACTAAATTGTATATTTACATATATTATCTCTGACATAAAGGGCGTTAATTCTATGGATGTTCATTTCATTTACATATAGTTTTGTCGTATGACGTTGTTACAAACATGATGTCAATATTTAATTTGAAAAAAAAAAAAATTGTAAAGTTAAACGCAGAATGAATTTGTTATTGAATATGATCACCAGAAGATATTATCTTTCAGTGTTGCATGTAATTGAGAGGAATTTTAGCGACATTTTCAAGTGTTCACATTTTTTTTTAAAATACAATGTATACATTTTCCAGCAAAAGTATAGCAACATGTACATTTAGAGTTGAAATTTCATCGGAAAACTCGATTACCATATCCCTTCCAATAAATTGCAATTTATACGCAAATACGACCTCTTAATTATAGATTCCTACAAGGCGATGGGGAAGGAAAATATTTTTACACGCACAAATATTTTCTGGCAATTACGTGTACAGTACTGTAAGATAAATTAATTAATATTTTAACATACATGTACGAAGATAATGTATAATGCTTGAAAAAAAGGCATGAGACAATGTTGAATTTCATATCCCAACGGGGTTCACATATTCAGGACCCGCATACATTTTGACAACTGTGTTCGACCTAGCGCTTTCGCACTGTCAAAATATCGCTTAAAATTCAATACAACAGGACATTTTATATTAAAATAATTCTGACGAATTTCAAATCAATATGCTTAGCGCTTCCCAGTACTTTCAGTACTTTGATTATGTAAACTTTGTTGGTTGTTTTTAGAGTAAATTTTAAACCAATGCAAACTGATAACATTATGCCAGACATGAAAGTGGACGTAAGGTAAACAATGTGAAATAAATTGAAACATTAAATACGCAAAACACACACGGCAAGTCAACAACGCACACACATGTGAGCTTCAGTTGTGATTGGGTTTAACTTGGGCTGGGTATTGGCCCGAGATTTCGTATTGCGATATATTGCGATATTTTTAACTGTATTGCGATATGTATTGCAATATTTTCAATGTCATAAAAATGACATTTTCTTACTAAATTTACTTTAATTAACATGCAGAATGTACATAACATGATAAGTAACCAACACGGAAAAAAAATCTTGATGATTTCATTTAAGTTATGCTCTGAAATGTTCCCACAAAACAACTTCTGACTTACTGTTTGGCTTAATAACAATCTTTCATAAGTTTATTTTTATATTTAATGACAAAATTCTTTAATGTAAGCAGATTGCCAATATATCTGAATTACAAAATCGTATTGCGATACGATATTTTTTGTCATTGTATTGCAATATATTGAAATATCGATATTATTGCCCAGCCCTAGGTTTAACCAAATATCATAATAATGTTTATGTCAAAAAAAGATATTTTAGATTTTAAATATTATAATTATTCAAATAAATGCAGCTTCTGATCTAAGGACCCGTTATACATGCTATAAGAAGGATTTTATGGATGGTCATATCACTATGATTGCTCTTCTTCCTGAGTAACAGGTTAAGCCCAAAGTGCCTATTAATTGTTATGTTAAATAATATCTTGTTTATAGTTCTCCAAAATCACTTAGACTATTAAGGAAAAATAGTTAGTTGTGGAAGTCAGTCATACTTTTATACAAAAAGTTCCTGTATTTTAAACGAAATTATGTAGTCCCTAGCAACAATAAATGTTTAACGCATTGTTTTTTTCTCTCTTTTAAGCAAAAACTAAATGATAATTTGATTAATAAATAAAATTTGAAATAAAATAAAAAGGATTAGATTTATAGTCAACCTACATTTATCATACATGTATGTAGTAGTATAAATTTACAATATATACAGCCTTCTCATTCTCAAATATAGCTTTTCACACACATGTAAAACACCCTTTTACCGGTAAATGTAAATGTAACATGTGCCTGATAATACACATACAGTTACTATATTCATCAACATATATGTAATGAGAGGGTAGCGAACAGTATATAGGGAACTTATACTGCCTCGCAAGTGTGCTACCTTTTCTGGTGATGCGGTATAGTCTCCCTCTATTTCAGGCAAGTGAAGGAACAGCGAGCCTGTTTAACCCTTGGATGGGTGACTGCTTCAAGTTACAAGAGCTTTAAAATTCAAGTTAACCATAATTTATTTATGTACATTAGTATATTTAATGTGAGGTTTATAATACACATAAACTATACATGACATTAGTGTTTTATATAACACATGTAAACCATGAAATAATTAACGTATGTGTAACATTTGGTTTATAATACGCATGTAAACCATGTGTTCATTAACATACGTGTAGCATGTGGTTGACATTACACATGTAAACCGGACGTCTATTTACATACGTGTAACGTATGGTTGCACATAACGTATGTTACACGTACGTTTCACGTATGTAACACATACGTGTATTCCAAACATACGTTGAACGTACGTTATGTGAAACTTATGTAGTCACACGTATGTTATACGTACGTTGTACCACCTACGTGAAATGTAATACACGTATGTGATGCGTACATTTCACATACGTGATACATGTATTATGTGCAACCATATGTAACACGTACGTGGCTCAATTAGCTGTGTTTAGTGATGTTGTGATCATCAAAACGCTTGAATATCACGATGACGCTTTAAACAGGCAACAGTTCATTCTGTGGCCCGGTCAACAGTTCACTGTTTCATGATCACGCAAAAACATATAGTAAGGCGTGGAACAGTTCAAAATGCCTAATTATAATTTATATAGTAGGTTAGGTAATAATATTGTTTGCGAGATGTTGCCGTGTGCGTTTTTATCTCTACCAATAATTCGGAACAAGACATGAGTATATATTGAAATTCTTACGCACCTGAAATTGAGAGAAATATGGACATTCAATTTGAAAAGAGATGGTTTTGAGTCCAAATAACAGGAAACACTATAAGCGACATTTCACAAAGACCAGTTTAGACTGCAGTTTAATTAATTGTGAAAATGTCTCATGAATTCCTTGGTTTTATTTTAAAAAATTAAATTACAATTTTCAATTTGTCCGTTTAGGTATTTTAAGCTGCAAAACTGTTCAGAAGTTTTTTTTGAATTTGTGTCACAGTACTCAAAAAAGATCAAAAGCAAGTTCATGTACTTTGCCCCTACCCCTCTACTGAAAATAAAATTAAGGAAATTATACATGAATTCCTTGTCTGTCATACCAATTCTTCGAAATTCTATGTTTTCTGCTTTTGTCAAGTTGTAGAGATTGGCCCTTTACATTAGAGATGTCACTATCTGTTTCTGTTTTAGTATCAGAAGGTATGAATTTGTAACTGGCTTAAACTAGTCTTCTTCCCGGAATGAGGAAGCTTAAATTTTGGTTTTTCGGTTGTAATACTTTATGAATATGTCATAGAAAAATATTTCTTTTTGTCAAAAAAAATCACACTGGGGTACGGTACAGTGATTTCCAAGAAACTGTGATATCTACATCTTCGGATTCCCACGGATGATAATGAAGAAAAACTTTATGCCTGTTTTGTAGATTTTCATAAGGCAGATGACAATTTTGTTTATAATGGTTTGAAACTGAATCGTCTGCAATATAAGAGTTTATAAAAATGTTTTACCTGTTCCAACCTAGGTTATGCCGGGGAAACTTGGGTAGCAATGAAACTTAATAATAAAATTTTCCATCATGATGTACAGACATTAGACAATTGCTCCTTCCGAACTGCATTCAGAGTGTACCAATTTTATAAGGAATTTAAGAGGATAATGAACAGTACTCGAGCTCAAAAGTCCACCAATCATAACAAAATAAAAGTTGAGTATACAAGAACATCTAAGAAATCAGAGGTAGGATCAGGTGCCACGTCTAGGTGATTGAAAGGTTTTTTGTACATCATCGTGGTATACACCACCCTGGTTATATAATATATTATGGTAGTGTTCTCTAATTAAATTATACGATGCAATTAAAATCAAATTATATAAAAACACACATCACAATGTATGTTCTTAAAGGTTATGGATTTTAATCGATTTGACTATACAAAATGTGTTTTGATGTTAGGTTTAAGATTAAGGATGTAATTTGTTTCCAATCATTACAATTTTTATAAGAAAATCTTTTTTTTTAAGGTTTCTTTCTATGACGAGGATAGAATACTATCATTTATCAAACATTGTTAAACCAGCCACAGTATGTCTTTATCCAAGTGCTATACCTCTACACCAGAAACAACAAACACTGCTCGACTGGCGAGGCTTATACTGGGTCCTTGTACTGATGTGTTACGTGACATCCTAAAGACAGAAGTGTTACCATCTGATTTGTCAAAAAAGGTTAAAGAATTTACAGATAAAGTCCCACGTGGACAAAGAAATCCCCTCAACAAATCACAATCAGAGATAATATTCCCCAAACCAACAAAACAATACAGTGGTGATTATTCAGACTTAGACATATCTTTATTGTATATGCTTATACGCAATGTAAGTACAATACCAGCGCATTATAAAGGTTGGGGAGAGATTCCGGACCCAGGAGATAGAAGGGTGGCAGCTAACATTGAAAGAATTCGCCTCATTAGAAACCAGTATTACGGACATTCAGCTGACCTGTCTCTATCCGATTCAGAATTTAAACAGGAATGGCGAAACATCCGGGACATTGTAGTGGAGCTAGAGCGACACCTAGGAACCACTACGATATACCAGGATGCAGTCAACACAATAAAAACCTGCTCCATGGACCCAGAACAAGAGAAAAAATACATAGACTTACTTGGAGATTTCAGAGAACTTCATACAACTGTGAATGATCTATCGGGTAAGTAAGCATTTACGTCTTGTATAGCATATTGCAAGTTTTGAAAGAAAAAGAAAAATAAAAACAGTGAACAATGATCAATCTTATAAACTCTTTAAGAACATAATGATTTTTTTCAGATAATATGAAGATTATCCAAAGGGATTTGGTGCTTCATGGTAAATATCACATATCAGTCGAATGCCATTATGGGCGTTTGAATCGCACCATTGAAACAAGAAATACAATATGCCACAGTGTCAATTATTAAACAATGAATTGTATTATTGATACTAAATGGCACATAAATAATCTGTGGTACATGAGATGTCATGAAATAGAGAAATGGGACAACTTCGCAAAAAAGTTTTAAAACGCGTTTAAGCATTCCGGTTGCAGAATACATGTTTTGATAAACCAATTTCTTGTTGTTGTCCATCATAAACTAAATAATAAGACAAAGAAAAAATGCAACAGATGTACTAAACTAAATGATGCAGGGGTTTGTGCAACAAAGGAATCATCATTCTTTTATAATGAGTAACTTGGATAAAAGGAATTTTTTTTATTTTGAATTCGATTTCTTTTAACCCTGACTTACAGACTTCATTGTTTTATTTTGTAGATCTACGAGTTGCAAGAAAGATCGGTATGATAATGCTCAAACATAATAGAAGAAAAATATATACCTTGGTATTTCTTTTAAAAGAAATATTCCAGGATATCTACTGGTAAAAATAGAGATAACGAATCAATACTGTAAAATAAGAACTTTTGGCGCATATATATATTTTAGCGGGAATTTATCGGTGAAAATAAATTTTAGAGCTTAAGCTTTTCATAAAAATATATAAATGTGATATTATTACATTTCACCCACGCTCGTATTTGATTTTGTGATAGCAACTCCCGAACGCAGGTGAACATTCTTTCATTTTTTGGTTTTGCAAACTTTTACTCAGCTTATTCTTATATTAAAGCTATGCATGCATCGAAGGAAATTTACTCGAATAACTGGATAACATGCAAGGTCCATCGCCATACTAAGATACAATGTAGATAGATACGAGGGTTGATCCAAAAGTAATGTCACAACTTTGATGAAATTGCTATGAATCGACATAAAACAACAAAATAATACATGATAAAAGCTTTCTTTATTTCAAATCAGACCTAAAAAATTCAAAGGAATATGATGTATACATTTTAAACTATTGGATTTTAAACTATGTGCATTTATGGTACTCGCCGCACCTAAATATAACGTCATGTTGCGAATACGCGCCGTCACACTTTAAAACGTTTCCCCTTCATTTCATTACAAAATATTTGTGATTCGCAAACACTTTCACCAACTTCACTTTTTTTAAGAATTCTCAGTACCATTATACACTCACTCTTTTCATAATTAAGCCGTCTGTCAATTTTTTTTTTGAACAGTAGCATAAGGCAAACTTTAAAAAATTCACATGTCACTCTATCCGTTTGTGCTTTTTGACTTCAGACACCACTGAACGTTTCCGTCCGATCTCCCAACTTTCGGGCTTCTTGTCCTCTGCTGATCATTCAATGACCCATAATCCGCCCAAAATTTACTGAAATGAAATTTGCTATGAAGAATTCTCTTATTAACATTCTTTATTCTGTGAATCTAATTAATTAACGTAATTGTCGATAGTGATAATTTCAATATTTTAAAACACTAAATGCATCACAATTCGTTGAGCCGTTTGTTTTCCCATATCGATACTCCCTTTGTTCAATTCAAGAGAGTAAAACAACAATGTTTATGATCACAAATACCAATGCCGTCATTTAATTTTAATTAAAGACTAGAAAATGACTTGAATTCTGTCTTTTTGAAAAAAATGAGATATTTGATGCTTTTTTTTAGTCTTTTAAATGTGCTTGTATATTTCATTCTAAAATGAATCACTTTAAAATGTGACGTTCCCCCGCAATCACGCATTTTCACGCACTTTAAAAAGTTCATTTAATCCTTACTTTAATGACCATTTCCTTCTATTTTATACTTGCAAAAAGCTCATCAAATAAGAAAAGTTATTTTTGTATTGAAATATAGCGTCATAATATTATTTAAGCTAAACTTTATAGAAACGTGTACCACTCTAAAAGCTGCTTGCGGGGCAAATGGTAAATTTCTATTTTTATGACGTGAACATTAAGTGTGTGTTGCATAACAGTTCAGTAAGTTGTAAAGTGTTAAATGAAAATCTCAATGTTTATTAGATTTGTATTTGTGCATCTCTTCGTATATTGTATTTGATAAAATGACGCCAAATATAAAAGATATGGACACAGTGACATTACTTTTGGATCAACCCTCGTACATATACGTTGTTACAATGCATTTTGACAAGATAATTTTAAGTAAAAAAAATATTACTATAGGTAAGATGTGGGATCAAGTTGACAACACAGAGATCCTTAAATATAAGTGTTATATATATATATATATATATATATATATATATATATATATATATATATATATATATATATATATATATAGATAGATAGATATAGATACGAAGGGGATTTTCCTTGGTAAATAGTAAAAACATGGTTGAGTCTAAGCTGAGGGACTCTAACTTGTAAATGTAATTTAAAGTACTTCATACAGGGCTGCTATCCTATAAGTTGACAAGCCTATTCTATCCTATCCTATCGTAAATCCTGCATCCACAATCCTATCCTGTGATTTTAGTCTAATTCTATATTATCCTGTTCTACAACTCTCTGTTTTATAATATTTAGGAATTAATTTTACGAGTTTAACGTCCCATTCGAGAATTTCGAAGCATTTTTAAGGCTTGAAAAAGGGGGCGGGGCTTATTAATACAGGAAAAGTTTACTTTGACGTCATACAAAAATATGACTTTTATGTATTTCTCATAATACCTGAAAATGAAAAAAATTGCAACTTTTAACTATATTAACTCAATAAACAACAATAAAACTTATCAATGCATTAAAAAAAACTTGCTAGTTAAATCCAATGTAGCTGGTTATAAACAAAGCAGTGATCGCGATGAATTTGTAAACATGACGTCATTTTGGTAAATATGACGTATTTCATGTACTGTGAAAGGCAGACTGAGGAATTTTTTAACAATGAGAAATGCGTGTTATCATTAAATGGAATAATATTTACAGGTTTGAAATATTCGATTAATACTAATGTATATCCTTTGTTTATTGCAATTATTCATTAATTATAAAGATAATGTAGTTATCAATTATGTCGTGATTTTATGTACAGGTTACGTATACAGTGACTGGAACGTCATTGTTGACAACTTACACGAACGATCACGTTACATGAACGATTCCGCACGATTAACGCACGATTAAACTTGATACACGAACGATCTTTCACGTTCACGATTCTACACGTTACACGATCTTACACGAATGTTTACGCAAACGCACGATTCTAGTTCAAAATATTTAGGAATCTGATATTTTCAAAACGAAATACGGCTTAATACTTATTTAAGATTTCAAAGAATTATCAATATTATTTCAAAGACTTTGAAGAAATTTAGAAAAAAACGGAAAATGAAATTTCTGTTACTAAATATATGCAAGACTTAATATTTAAGATTAAGAATGATAATTTCTAAGGTAATTCTCCGATAAAAAAAAAGAATTTTGTTCCTTCTATAAGACGATGTACATGTTTGTGGGTGGCATTATTTGATTGAATTGGATATCATGATATGCAAAAAGGGAGATACGATTGAACAAAAAGGCAGGATGGAATGACTTAAATTATAATTGCAAATTTTATCCTTATGTTTCCAATGATTCAATGTCTGATAAACTTGCCAATTATTCAACTTTTTTATTTGCAGAAATTTAAGATTAATTAATTACAAATAGGCTCAAGAGATAAACACAGATAATCAAAACTCCCGAAAATCATGCCGTGTCCATGTATATTTGTCGACTAACTATTTATGTAAGCATTGAAAAATGTTTATTTCTTTGTAAAAAAATATATTTATTTTCAATAATTTGATTTCAAGATTATCTTGACCACAATAAGAAGTTTGCTTGTTTACGGGCGATAATTAGTTCGTTCTGCATTCTTTTATGTAAATTGCGCTTTTTCATTTTATTTGGATTTTAGTTAATAATTTAGAAAAACAAACAAAGGAAATGCTTATATTACAAATAACATTCCGATAAAAACTTACAAAACGAAATTTACACGATTCTAAACGCACGATCTCGCACGATTAAAAACTCACACGATTGAATCTGATACACAAACGATACACGATTGGTTTGTCAACAATAACGTTCCGACCACTGTATTTTACATCGAGATGTCTCATAAAATCGTATTTTCGTAAGGGCATACACTGAATAGATTTTAGCCATTTTTTGAATATAGACAAAGGATATTTTTCTTAACTTGAAAAGTGCTGCTGCTTTCTTTAAATCCAGGGCGGGATTTTATAAGTACACAAAATATTTGGTAAAAGTCAAACATATTTCGACATTGGCTTATTTATCTAAATTTATCTAATAATTTAACTATTAAAACGCAAAATCTATTCAAAGCAGCAGAATTTTTCAGAAACTACAAAGTATGCAGAAACAATTAATAGCTTACATTTTTAATTTCAACTTGCGATTTTGAAATTTGTTCATGACCTACATTCAGCACATGAACTATGCATTCATCACCTGACTGTCCATCGATGGGACCAAACTTAATATAGTACAGAGTGGGTTATACTATGCTATTTTCATAAGTATTTAAGTTCTGTTATAATAATAAAGCTTAATTAAAATAAATTCAGTTTTTGAAACATTCCCCTTTTTTGCACGTCTATTTTCCGTTGATTTCTCATTGTAGGCCTTAACAGTGCTGCGAAATAAATTCACCTGGAAAGTCACGTGCAGGTCAATATAACGCAGTATTTTTCAACATAGTTGGATCTCAGCCAATCAGAGAGACCTAAATTATTCAATCATATAATAAAACAATTTATTTTGAAAAATCATAGTGTAACGTGAAGCGGTCAATTTTGTAACGTGAAGCGGTCACCCATCAAAGGGTTAAACAGGCTCGCCATTGCTTAATTTGCCTGATATAGAGGGAGATTTTACCGCATCGCTAGAAAATCTAGCTCACTATAGTGGAGTGACAAGACCATCAGAAATTTGAATTTAATGTACCACCCTACCCTACGGCTGATTTGTACTTTTTTGGTCAGATATATTGTCAAGCAATAATTTTTGCCCGGTCGTAGAAAATTCTATGGTCAAATTTTTAAAATAAAAGGAGATCAAAGATCAATTAATGAAATCTGACCGTGATATTGTACATGCAAGGAAAAGTTCAAGAAATTCGTGAAAATAATGTATATTTGTGTAGGAATTTTATTTATTCAGTGAACATATTGATTTCATGGAAAAGGAGCGAAAATTTGAATAAGAATGCCCATTTGTCTGTCTGTAAAATGAAAGGTTAGTCTTATAGTATCTTATTTAAATTTGAAAGAGATAATGCTAATGTACCCTAATGCACCTTATTCTTTACGTACAGTCACGTAATATTTAGTAAACAAAGTAAAAAAAAAAACAAGAACAACAACACCCAACACCCCTACC